ACAGATTAATGATGTCAATATAGAATAAAATCCACTGATAACAATACTGTCAGAAAGATTGTTTTTCTTATAAAAAGTTTTTTTTTTCTTTGTAAGTTGAATGATCTTTTTCTGTTCCTTTTCACCAATCATAAATGGCAGCTGGTACTTGAGGGAGAAGAACACTGAATAATTCAGACATCTATTTACAAAGGCAATAAACCAGCAAATCCACACTTGTTAAGGTTGAACAGTTGTTTGACCTTCTTGTGTGTCAGAATATTGACAAGTGGTTACTGAGCTTCTTTGGTCACTATGTCAACTGCTGAAGTTTGTCTAGAATATTCTGAGTCACAAGATGGGTTTATGCCATCAGAAAGCAATTCAGGAGGCCGGATATGGTAACAAATAAAAGAAGTACTTATCCATCTCTCGACTCTGATAGGATATGAGACAAGGTCTATTTAATGTGCATGGGACATGTATGCACATACAGAAGGGCAAAACTTGTTCAGTCCCTGCAACATGCTGGGATCAGTATCCACCAATCCTTAAGTGCCATAATGAAGGGGCTGCCACATGGCTGGAATTCCTAGGGCTTCTGTTTTGTGTGCAAAACTTCAAACCAGAAGATAAGAAATTTGAAAATTTATCTATTAATAAACATGTGTATATAAGAAAGGATTTCTATTAATCTGATATAATTTTATCACATTAACCTAACAAATGGACAATTTTGCTGTTACACCTGGTGTGTGTGCGTGCATATATATATATATATATATATATATAAATATAAAACTTTAAACATTAATATTAGTGGATACACCTATTTGAGTAGCTGCTCCATTTGTATATCAAACAGTATATTATTTTCACATACCTGTCTGAAATATCAAAAAATTTATTAAAGAAAAATTTGCATTCCCCAGCAGGAATTTAACCTGCATTCCTCTGGCTATCTCTACTCTGAGGGATGCAGATTTCTTGAAATTTCATGCAGGTAAGTTAAAATAAATAAAGATACTGTTTAATACATAAATGGATCAGTGACTCAAATATGAGTATCCACTAATAATACTGTTTAAAGTTATATACACACACCCACTGGGTGTAGCAGCAAAATTGTCCATTTGTTAGATTAAGCTTTGAACTGCTTTATTTTAGAACTGATTAAAGATATCTTACTGGAATTTTCCAAGTATTTTAAAAAAAACTATTGGACTTATGGAGCAATAAGAATGTATAATTACTCTTCAAGATTAACAGAAGGATCATGATGAAATTGATCATAAATGAAAATGCCATGTTTATCATTAATTCATCATAGCTAAAGATCAGAAGCTCATGAAAGATGGAAATAAAGTTCAAATATATATATTATTGTAGAATCACTTTCCAATCTATTCAAGATGATCTTTGCCCTCTCTAATCTAACTTTCTATCCTAGAGTAACAAAGTGCTTCACGGGTTTCACATACGATTTCATTTTCATGTCTTTTTTCACTTCTCTTTGGACTGTTATAGCTGAAACTCCTCTCTCACATACGTTTTATGAATTGAGTTGGATCTTTTCTAATTGATCTCCTTAGATCTAAGTTGAAATGATGATCCTTCTTCCTATTGTGACCTCCTGATCTAGTTTACCTCTCTACCGTTCCCTCTTTTTTAAACTTAATCACCATTCTCTGGATAGTTCTTGAATGGACTTGGAAGATGAAAGCCAAATTATGAGTGTTGGTACAATTACTGAAGGCCTGAATGATCTTTTTCCTCTTACCATTGCTCAGCTGGGAAGACAGTGGGTCTGACACAAAACTATTTTAACCTGTTCTCTTTTTATAGCTGAATAACTTTTTTTTTTTTCAGTATTTCTTGCAACAAATGGTGTCAAGATGGTTAAATGTCTTATCTGAAAACCTGGAAAAAGAAAGTCAATCAATTTAGTGGATTTTAATATATTAAACGTTTTGCGGGTATTGACAATTTTGCTGTTACACCCTATATATATATATATATATATATATATATATATATAATCAGTGGACTCTTCAGTAGTGTTCTATGGATGAGTTTCCAGTAACTTTTTTCTTAGAACCATATATACCAAACTGCATGTACATATGATTTGATTATAGTGGTGATGGCTTAAGCAGAACCAACTACACTTTTCTGAAAAACCAAATACAGAGAACTGGTGCACATAGTGTGCAACAAGTTTTCCAACCAAGGCAATAGTGTCCAATCTTCATTTTGTTTATTTTCCCAAGTAATTGGGAAAATAAATGAAAAAACTATGGTGCCTTCCTTGTTGATTTTAATAACAACATTAAGAAATTGATCTGTGAATTTGAAGGATTCAAATAAAAATAGGCATATCTAGATTATTCAACCAAACATGCTAGAAATATATATATATATATATATATATATATTTCTCAGACCAGTTGGAGTAGATAGGTTTGCTTATAGTCTGGCTCACATGTATTCTTTTGAACAGGAGTAGAGGTTTATTCCTTGTTTTCTGTTTAGGATTGGGTTAACAGTTCCTACTAAAGCCTTTTCCACCTCTTTCACTTCTGGTGGACCCTTACATCTTAGTGGCATTATCACCTTGCTTTAGATAGTGCCTCTTACTCTGTAATCCTCTACCTTGAGTGGCTCTTTTTACTGGATGCACATCATTGCAAAAAAACAAAGCAACTTTGGAGAATTATCACATTTTCATACATACACACACACACATATATATATATATATATATATATATATATTATAATTTTATCATACAGACAAAACCATTTTACTCACTGCAAAGATGCAACTTGGTTTGAAATGCACTGAAACCAAGTTGAAATCTTTTGTAGTGAGTAAAATGGTTTTGTCTATATGATAAAATTATAATAAATAAATAATTATCACTCTACTATTGGTATCGAGCCCTCTTTTGGATTAATGCTGTGAACATTGAAATTTATATATTACTTTTGTTCTCATCGCATTGGATATATATACATATATATAAAGTTTAGCCCTTAGAGCAGTTATTAGCTGAATTATATTAAATTTTGCTGTGTTTATTTCTTAGTGACAAAGGAGGATATTCTGAAAGAAAATATTTGTGCAAAATGTCTTTTCTAATTAGTAAGGTTATAGACTAATTGATATTACTATACACTCATCAGCAAATACCAACTGATTTTTAAACTCTCTAATGAGTGTAATACAAGAATAATGCAGTGTAATTGATACTTGGTAAGTTTTACTAGCAACTGACTTCAACCCATAAACTAGAGTTTAAAGAGGTAATTACGTACTTGAAGTGTTTCATTTTCTTAAGCACTGGCCATCTTAAATTCCCAGAATTCTGGATCAGAATTGGACAGCAGTAGCAGAGAATCTTGATTTATTATTAAAAGGATCTGAAAAGGTGGACATTAGTCATAAATAGCCTGAGATTTGCATTGATATCCACTAAGAACGGTTATTGTCTCCAAGATTGTATTGACTGGTTATGTAGGTCAGATTCATGATTTGATTTATTACTAAAAGCTTGAAAAGTAAGACTAAACCATCCCCTTGTAATTGTTTGGCTATGAAGCTTGGTTATTTTATATAATATATATATATATAAAGTCATCCATGGACAGACTGTTTCGCTGTTTCACAGCTCTTCAGTGGGCTAGACATCCGGTTGCCTCTAGCTAGGATCGAAACCCAACTGAATTGGCGTCAATCGGAGATTCTACCACTAAGCCATCAGCGCACGGCAGGGATGAAGGTGAATTTTAGCATATTTATTTTTAGATAAACACGCACACAGTGACCGACAGTGACTCAATCCGCTTTTGCCAAAGAGTTTCGCTATATCAGCCATAATAGTCACTGTTTATGAACCCACACCTCTTCCCCAGAGAGCTCAACTGAAATTAATTTTTCAGGAGCCAATATAAAGTTATCCACAGACAGACTGTTTCACTGTAATATATATATATATATATTACTCTTAAGGTATGCTATATTTATGGGATATATATATATATATAAGCATTATGCCCCGAGCAAGGCATGAAGTCACTAGGATGCAGGGTTTGCAGAAGATTTAGAGCAAGAGCAGATAGGAGTGATAGAAGAAAGGATGAGGAGAGGGATAGTGGATAGATCAAGGTAACTGGAGATGTCAATTGAGATTACATTTGAATAGTTGGAGATTATAGCTCTCAGGGAAACAGTAATAGGGAAGGGTGTTCCACAGCGAGAGGTGCGAGGTATGAAGCTATTGGAGTAGAAGAGACAGCTACATTTAAAAGTTTCTACAGTGAAAGGGTGAGAGCAGGATGCCAGCCTCATAGGGCGCTTGAATTCATGAAGTCTGGGAACCAGTGAAAGCAGCTCATCGGAGCAATTACCATGAAAGTATTTGTAAAAAAGTCAGAGAGAGGCGATGGCGCATCTGTGAGAGAGTGACTGTAGACGAGATGCCAGATCAGGGCCAATATATAAAATGGTATATCAAAAATACTTTTACAAACTTTGGGGTGGTTTTCTCACACCGAAACAATGACAAAAGTCCATGTAAACATATGTCTGCAAATCCTTCATTTGTAAGTTTAACAAAAGCCTCATGTCCATTACCATTCACCCAGCCATATGTAAAAATCATATCTGTCTGCTCATGAATATACTGCCATTGTTAAATGGAACACTTTTCAGATAACCCACTACTACTACACATTAAATGTTGAAGACAGGCTAGCCACAAATGAACATGAATGACAAACATAACCTAGTCTACATGGCAGTATAGTGCCATGTACCATAAACTTTCTTTAAACTTATTAACTCAAAAATAAAGAATTGTAGACATGTTTATTTAAACTTTTGTCTTTGTTTTGGTGGAAGTAACCTGCCTCCAATTTTTGTAAAAGTATTTTCGATACACTCTGTATATATCTCACACAGGTAAATAGTTCAGTGATATTTAAAATTTAAACTGAGATGGAGAGGCATGTGACTATTCC